GCCCCCCCCCCTCGACACCGAAGAATCGAAGTGGAGGGCCCGATGAGCCCGGAGACCGGGGGGCGGCTAAGCCCCTCCACCACGTCAAGGTGGCTCGCATCGAAGGAGTGCACCCTTCTATGAGGGCCGAAAACAGGGTCCGTACACTACGGGTCTTTCGACCCGCATGCAGGCACCCTGCTCATCCATTTTTAACCTCCCTCTGCTGGGGGTCCTTCCTTGGTGGTGTCCCCCCAGGTGTCCAGTCACCCAGGGGGACCCAAAATTTCGCGTGTACCTTTGTTTGTTTTATAGTGGCGTAAGGCAGGCCCCCACTAGGTGGACTCCTGTGTTGAGAAGCGAGCCCACCCTCCAACCGAGCTCCCCTCATTGGAGGACCCCCCCCCTCCTCGGCAGAGAAGAAGAGGAGTATCCTCTGATTACTACTGGGGGGGGATGCGACTTTTCCCAGCGTGTGATCAAAGTAACCGCTCGATCGAAGGGTGTGCCCACTGCCCGTGCAGGCACCAACCATTTAACTGTGGTGATCACCATCGTGTGATGAACCCCCGGCACCGTGCGCTCCGCGTTTTCGGAGGAGGCTGGAGGAAGCGTACCCCACCCTGTGGATGATAGGCTCGGGACTCCTCATTCCATCGCCCGAAAGGTCAGGAATGGTCCGTCACCCTCATCGACCCTGCCCGTGTCCCTGCATCCGCCTTTTTATACAGGAGGAGTGCAGACTCCTGTTTCGGCCATATCGGCCTCAGGCTCTACAAGGTAGCAGCCGTCACTCGATATGACCGTGCCACTCGACGGCACCCGCGACTCGATCTAAGTGTGCTTCCGAATTTCCGGAGGGTGAAGCACAACCCTCTTTCCCACCATGCCGCGTCCACGACATGATAGGCCTTAACCTACCCGGGGCTCCCATTGTAGAGCCAGGCTTCGCTTCCACGTGGAAGCGATTTGTGCAGGATGTTTCCATCGCGAGACACCGGAGCACCCGTTCTGCCTACGATTTTTTATCCAAGGATGGGCAGGCCCCCTCTCGCCGACGTGCAATGTCGACTCCTAACCCATGTCTCCGCCTCCGCTTTTTTTATTTAGCGAGGGGAAGGCGGACCCTACGCCATGACGATGCCGACCTCGGGGGGCCAGGTTTCTCTGTACTCCTATCCCCGTCACCCGTCTCGTCCCTGCCCGCCTTGCTGAATGCCTACGGAATTATGAGGCGAAGGCATCACCTCTATCCAAAACTTTGCCATCTGGCTGAATAAACTACCTACCCGGAATCCCCGTGGCCGTAAGCCGCCCAGGGGGAATTCGCTTTCCTAGAGGGGAAAGCGGAGAAAGACCCCGGCCATAAGGCATGGAGGACCAGTGTCTCTCATCCTTTGCATATAGACCGCCCGAGATGATGAATGGGTTCACCGTCATTCGACTAGAATACCATGGCTTGGGCCGCATTCGAAAGCCCCCGCCCCAACTCAGCGGGCGTTCACCTGCCTTTAAAGGCGTGACCATGGTATCCCTATCGACCCCGGTTCCTCCATCCAGCATCAGAAAACCCGAAGACTCTACTGCCCAGTGGCGCAAAATAGCGGAGATCTGTACCCCTCCCCAATAATATGGGGAGAGACACGGATCCCGCCCACACACACGCATTCACACACACAGAGATTCGATTCCGGCGCGGTATGTCGGCCTCTACGAGGTAGCAGCCCGTCGCCCAACATGACCGCGCCATTCGACGGCCCCGTGACTAGAATTAAATGTGCCTCCGAATTTCCGGAGGGTGAGGCACCACCCCTCGCAAGAACTATGCACACTTGCTGTCATTTACCTACCCGAGGTTCGCGTTGAGCCATTAAGACCCAACGCGACCACTCTCTTTTTAAGGGGAGAGCGGAGAGAGACCCTCGGCGCACGCAGACGTCACCCGGGGGAGAATCTTTTTTTTTTTTTTTTGCGCAAGGAGGGGAAATGCCGTGACGCACACCCCACCCGCCGTAGGGTGGGGTAGTGCGGGACTCGGCCTTAAGGGCCCCTACCCGCTAAAACCCCTCCTTGTTGGCGTCCTTCCGTAAATGGCCGACCCCCCCGGGAAGTACCCGCCTTCGCATGAACCGCCCGGGAGGTTACGCCTGATGGGCTTTGTACCCTCCTTCCTGTCCGGGTTACCTTCCGCTCGTCCTGTGTGCATGTTGTGTGTTAGGTTGTATGTGTAAAGCATGTGTGGGTGAGTGCTTGTAAGTGTGTTAGTGAGTGTGCTGTTTGTGTGCAAGTGTATGTATGTGTGTGCGCGTAAGATGAGATGAATGAGTGATCCCTCCCCCCATATATGCCCCCCTAGTCCCATCCCTCCCCCTTCCCTCTCCTTCCCCACCCATCACCCTACCAATGGCCTGTCTCGAAAGATGTCCCTGTATTGACTCGAAAGTCGGTGTCAGTGTACGCGTATAATGATTAAATGAGTGAATGATCCCCTTCCCCCCTTACCCGTACCCATAATTCCCTACCCCCCTTCACCCTGTCCCCAAGGCCCAATACCCATCATCCCTCATCCCGATATTATGTTCCTGTGTATCGTGTGTGTTTGCGGACTCTGTATATGTCAATTATATGTATTCTTGGCTCCACTCATCATCGGGATAAATTGTCAAGTGCTTCTGGATTATTTAAGTTCTAGTTCTAATTGATTTAGTCTAGTCTACTTTATATATATCTAGTCATATATCTAATCATATAATTTAGTCACATTCATCTATCTATCTAATCATGTTGTCTAGTCATGTTAGCTTATCTATTTAGTTAGTTAGTTACGTTGGTCTAGTTAATCTAGTCTAGTCATCGTCCCCCTTCGTGGTACGCCACCTTGTCGTGGTGGAGGGGCTCGGGTGATCCAACGATCCGCTGTGGTAGTACCGAGGGTTCAACCCTTGGGAGGGCCGGCGGGGAGGATCACTCGCTAAGAGCGTACCAGGGCACTCGGCTTTGCCCAGGGGACAGTCTGTCTTCGAAGGGTCATTGAGACCCAATGTCGGTAGGGGAAGGAGACCCCGACTACAAACCCCGGCTGCACGGAGCCGATAGGGGAGGATTTCTATCCTCCCTCCATGCACTTTGCGGGTGCTCCCGCGGGGTGTGAGGGTGCTGCGTGATGGGTGCTCCTGCCACGTAGCGTCCCTCAGGGGGGGATGTGAGTGCCGGGGTGCTTGTGTCTGGGGGCGCCATTCTCCTCGCAATCTGCGGGGTGAGTGCGCGTCCTGGCATGGGGTACTTCCGGCGTCCCACAAAAAGGGGTCTCGGGGCTAGCCCGTGATCCCTGGGGGGATGCGGTGGCCGGTCCACTCCGATCCGGGGTGTCATCCAAGTATGGGTGGCCCTCCGGTGAGGGGTAGAAGCGGCATCCCGCAAGAGGGTAGTCGCCTCCCACCGCTTGGCAAACGGCCCGGGGTGTGACCCCGGGATACGCGCCAAGCAGAAGGAGGGGACGGGTCGGCAGATTGACTCACCCGGAGATATCCGGGTGACCGGACTTGTCCGGACTGTCGGCCCGGGTCGCATCGAGCCGCTCGGACGTTTCCGAGGCGGGGTCGGTGCGACGGGGATGACGGCGACTGGGTCTCTTGGCGGGGGAGAAATCTCTCCCTCGTCGGTCCCCTGTTGCCGCCTGCTGCCGGAACCGCTCCGACGTATTCGGAGGTCGGGATCCGGTGGCGACAATGTTGAGTACCCGGTGGTTGTCCGCGACCGTTTCCCCTTCCGAAGCGGCAACCACCGGGACGGCGCTTGCCCCCCAGATCCGGCCAGTCCGGTGTAGGGGCGTGCTGGTCGCCACGGCGGGTAAGGCGGGGTAGGGGAGCGGCTGCCCCGTCCCAACCGTCCGTGGGGCCCCCCGGGTGGCGCCGCCCCTGACGGTGTCTGCGTGGTCGGAGGCGCAGAACCCCTGAAATCCCGTGGAAGCGTCAAAACTCCCACGGGTAAGTAGGGGGCTGGAGTCCTGTGCCGGCGCTGCCTATGGCCGCCGGCCAGTGGCATATGTCGACCCCCCGGGGGAACTCGGGGCCCCCCGTCGTGAGTGTGGCCGGTCATGTTTCGGGACACTCGCGGCGGGGGTGAGGGTACACCCGGTCGACAGAGCCGTCAGGGGACAGTGGGATAAAACCAAAAATGGATACACAACAAAAACCTACAAACAAAAACTCAACAAAAACAATAACAAAAAACAATAACGAGGAGGGAGAGAGCGCACGGGAGCAGACCAGATCAAGGTCCTCCTCTTCGACGCGCTCGTTACCCGGTGAACGGTCCGGGATAGTTGCGCGCAGGTCATCGCGTCGCAATACACGGCAAGAACCGTACAAGAGCGGCGGTGAGAGGTTTGCCTCTGTCGCCGACAAACAGCCTGTCGTAAGGATGGAGAAGTTGGTCGTCAAGAAGATCGAGGACGCCAACTTCCAACTCCCTCTGTTTCGCCCGTCGATAACATTCGGCACGGCAGAGAACCCGCTTCCACGCACAAGCGGGATAGGGCGTACTCCCTCCCCAGCAAGTGCTAGCAGAAGCGAGGCCAGGCCAACAGCGCGAGAAGACATCTCTGCGCGCACGTCGGATGTGAACCACGGCTCGAGAAGGAGAGCGCTCCGGACCATGAGGAGGAATCCATCGACGTCGACTCCATCGACGGGAAGGAGACCCTTGAACCCGCCGAAGATGACAACATTTCCGTCACCAGCTCGGTGGCGGAAAACAGGTTTGCGGAGCAGCGAGCGGAGGCGCGTGAACGCCTAAAAGAAGAGGAGGCCGCGTGTCGTAAGATGGAGGAAGAGAAGGAGAGGAGAGCGGCAGAGGCGCTCAAGCCGGATCCCCCAATCAAATCCGCGAGGTGGCGGAAACTCCTCGAACAAGAGGAGGAAGTGGAGGACACCCTCCAATAGGAGCCGACGGAAGGGATCGCGGCGCAACTACTGGAGCACTCCGCCATCCTTTTTAAGGTGGCGGACTGCTCCAATAGGATGAAAGGAACGCTCGTCAAGCAGGTGAAGGACAGCGTCGCACTGCTTCGAGCTGCCACGTCTGTAATGACGAGGAGGATTCGCGAAGGCGAGAAAACGAAACTCAAAGAGTTCCGAGAGGAGCTCTACAAACTCCGAGAGGAGAACAGGGAGCTGAGGAGGGAAATAAAGCGCATGAAGAACGCTCCTCCTCCTCCCCCTCCAGCCTCTCGCCATTCCTCGACGAGAGAGTCGAGTGAGAGGAAGAGGAGACGGATCATCGACTCGGAAGAGGAGATGGACACTGGATCTCCTCCCCGTCTCCAAACGAGAGATCCGGAGATTGAACCCACCTCCCTCCCATCTAGGAAGGAAAAGACAGAGGGGATCATTGATCTGGGGGAAAAAGAGTTTCCCCCGCTGAGGAAGAAAGGCCCCGTCAGACAGACGGGGCCACCGCTCAAGGGGGTGCCTCGCCCATTGGAGGCGTTCCCTCCCGGTATGCCCGAGGAGGCAAGGGCAGAATTTAACAAATTAATGGACCAGAAGAATGCAGTCTTGGCACTTCTGGACCCCATTATGACACAGATGGAGACGCTGAGGCTCTCCAGGACTAAGCCTGTGTCAGATAAAACTACTCCAGTCACGTCCCTCCCTCCCCCCGTCATCGGGAAAGAGGCTAAAGCCTCCAACCCTCAAGGGGTGAAAGGGCGGGACCAGAACAGGGCTGTCTCCGTAATCCCCTCCGAAAAGACGGAGGGAACAAGCGGAGGCAGCAAGAAAAAGAAGAAAGGGAAGGCGGGCGGAGGACAAGATCCACCCGCAACCGGAACACGGGCGACTCCAGGGGAAAAAGGAGGAGCTTCCTCCTCCAAATCCCAAGGGAGTCAGCGAGGCCCGGCCGGAGGACAAACGAAATCCTCCGCTGCTACAAGAGGGGAGAGACCTCTACCCGTTAAAACGGGAAAAAGCCTCGCTCTCACACAATCCACTCCTCCGCCTCCCCCGTCAACGGGAGAAAAGGAGGAGTGGACAAAGGTGGTCGGGCGAAAAACCCGCAAGGCCACCAAGGCGGGAGACAATCGTGCCGCTGCGGTACCAGCCCCTCCGCCTAAGACAGCGGCGTCCGGGACTTCTCCCCCGCCTGGTGGGGGAAAGAAGAAAGGACGAAGAAGAGTCCCTCGAACGGCCGCGATGGTCCTGTCGTGTCCACCCGGCGCGCTCAAGGAGACGTTGAGACTGGCAATGGACAAGATAGACCTTGCCAGTCTCAACATTGACGGCTTGGAAGCCAGAAAGGCCGTCACGGGTGCCTAACTATTCGAGGTTGGGGGCCCGGACAACAAGGTCAAGGCGGATGTCCTGGCTGCCAAGATGCGTGAGGTCCTCGCGGATAAGGAGGGGGTGAGGATTTCCCGCCCTGTCCTACGGCGGAGTTACGCATCCGCGACCTCACCGAGGACATCGAGGAGGAGGACGTGCTGCGCGCAGTGGCCTCTACCGGTGAATGTGATCCCACCCTGGTCAAGGTGGGACTTGTTAAATCCACCGGCAGAGGTCTTAGCACAGTTTGGGTGCGCTGCCCACTTGCCGCAGCCAATAGGCTAGTTGCCGCAAAAAGGCTGCGGATAGGGTGGGTAAACATCCGAGTGGAAGCGCTGGAGAAAAGGTCACTCCAGTGCTTCCGTTGTATGGAGAAGGGCCACGTAAAGGCCCAATGCTGCGGCGACAAAGACCGCAGCAAAGATTGTTACAGGTGCGGGGGCCCTGGACACATAGCCCGGGAGTGCACGCTACAAGTGCACTGCCCGGTGTGTGCCGACATGGGCAGGCCAGCGCCCGCATCTGTAAAGCGCCCAAGAAAGGGGAAGCTGCTATACAGCCCCCCCAGAACAAGCAGGGTACCGGGAAGGCGAACTCCTCCAAGGAGAAGAAGAAGAAACCTCCCGTCCCTCTTCAAAAAGAGGACAAGCGGGAGGAGGCACCTCCACTCCCCTCTACGTCAAACGAGGGGATGATGGAGGTGGAGCCTCTGGAACAGAGAATTCCCAGGAGGAGGCAGGGCAAAACGCCCGAGGAAGTTCCCCCACCGAGTGACGGTGAGGGGGACAATCAGATGGAGGCAGAGTCGGAGGAACTTGACCGCCAAACTTAGATATGGCAGTCAAGGTTAAGTTCCTCCAGGCCAACCTTAACCACGCCAGTCAGGCGCAGAATCTATTCTTTCAAAGCCTGGCTGAGCGTGGTATCGGGTTGGCCATTGTCGGCGAACCCTACAAAGTCCCAATGAAAGCCACTTGGCTGGGGGACAATAGGGGTTCGGCGGCAATAGGGATCGGCGCCGCAACGAACGATTCCCCCCCTCTCCAGTTGATTGGAAGAGGGGACGGATTCGTGGCGGCTAAGTGGGGGCCCACTATAGCAGTTAGCTGCTATGCCCCCCCGAGTTGGAGTCGTGCCCAATTTGACTCGTTCCTTGAGCGGCTGGAGGATGTTGTAAGAGACATCCCTCCTGCTAGCCCGCTCATAATAGCCGGAGACTTTAACGCAAAGTCTCCGGCATGGGGCGAGTCGAGGCAGGACGTCAGGGGAGTTACCCTGGTGAGGTGGGTGAATTCGCTCGGCCTACACATCTTAAATGTAGGCCGGGCGAGCACATGTATCAGGCCCCAAGGGGAGTCGATCGTAGACTTAACGATCGGCTCCGATGGGACCAAGAGACTGATACGGGGATGGCGCGTGGTGAGTGATTCGAGGGGGGAAACCCTCTCGGATCACCAGTATATTGAGTACGCACTAGATACCACGCGCCATCAGGTACAACACCCACCTCAAAGGGGGGGAGGCACCCAAGTGGACCCTCACGAAGTTGGACCCCGAACGGCTAGAGGAGGCCCTTATGGCCGTCAGCTGGGGTCTACCGGAAGGAGATGGAGACATTCTCCGGGAAGCAGAGTGGCTGCGCGGGACGATGCGTCAAGTTTGCGACGCTGCCATGCCCCGCGTAGCCGCGCCCCGCCCGCGTCGGGCCGTCTATTGGTGGACGGATGAGATAGCGCAACTCAGGCGCTCCTCCGTCCAGGCCCGACGAGCTCTCTCCCGTTTCCCCCGAGGGAGAGACGAGGAGAGACGTGAAGAGGCCTTGGCCGCCTACAGGGCAGCAAGACGCGCCCTGAGCGCCGCCATCAGGAGATCCAGGGCCAATTGTTGGAACGAACTACTATTGTCCCTCAACACAGACCCATGGGGGCGTCCTTATAAGATTATACTTAACAAGTATAGAAATTGGGCGCCCCCGGTGACGGAGTCGCTGGACCCACCCGTCCTCCAGAATGTCGTGGATACCCTCTTCCCAATCGGGGCAGAGGGGTCCACACTCAACTGGGGTCCCGGTATAGAGGGGCCCCATGAGCTTACGGAGGACGAGGAAATATTCAACGACGAACTCCGGCGCGCCGTCAAACGGGTGAAGTCAGGGAAGGCCCCTGGCCCGGACGGCGTGTCCGGAAAGATATGGGTCTGGGCCCTGGATTACCTGGGAGAGCGTCTGAGGCACTTATTTAACAAGTGTCTCAGACAGGGCGCTTTCCCCCAGCAGTGGAAGCAGGCCAAGCTGGTCCTGCTTCCCAAGGAGGGCAAGGAGGCAGGCACCCCGTCGGCATATAGACCGATATGCCTGCTGGACGAGGTCGGCAAAATCTTTGAGCGAATCATCGCTGACCGACTCGTCCAGCATATGTCCCGGGAGGGGGATCTCCACGAGGAGCAGTATGGCTTCCGTGAGGGACGATCTACGGTAGACGCAGTAAAACGCGTCAGGTCCCTCACGGAGGCCGCAGTGACGGAGGGCAGGATGGCAATGGCGGTGTCGTTAGACATCGCAAACGCCTTTAACACCCTGCCCTGGGACACCGTCGGGGACGCTCTGATGGAGCGAAGAGTCCCCAAATACCTCGTGGAGATCATACGCCAATACTTCCGAGACAGGCATCTGGAGTTCGTCACGAAGGACGGACTCCAGTGCCGACGGGGAATTCGGTGCAGAGTTCCACAGGGGTCGGTACTTGGCCCCCTATTGTGGAACCTCGCGTATAACCGGATACTTTGCCTTCCTCTCCCCCGCGGCTGCCACGCCATCTGTTATGCAGATGACACACTAGTGGTGGCCGTGGGGTACGGCTGGGGGGATACGGCGGCCAAGGCCGAAACGGCGGTGGCAGCCGTGGTACGTGGAATAGTCGGTATGGGTCTCAAGGTGGCGGCCAAAAAGACACAGGCGCTATACTTTTATAGCAGAGCCTCAGGTCGACCACCGGAGACCCATATCCGAGTTGGGGACACCTCGATCCTGGTAGGAGATCGGCTAAAATACCTTGGTCTCCTACTGGACGGTCAATGGAAGTTTGGGCATCACTTTGATGCCTTTACCCCCAAGGTGGGGCGCTTTGCCAAGGCACTTGGCAGGCTCCTGCCAAACCTTGAGGGTCCGGACGGTCGGGTTCGCCGCATCTACATGGGCACCGTTAATTCGGTGACCCTTTACGGATGTCCCGTATGGGCGGCGAACCTCGCTGCCATGCGACGCGCAAAGGATAATTTCCGGCGCGTACAGCGAAGCATGACAGCGAGAGTAACGAGGGCTTACCGCCCGGTGTCCGGTGCGGCGGCCATGGTCCTGGCAGGATGGCCTCCCCTGGAGTTCTTCGCAAACATGTACGCTAAAATCTATCAGCGCGAGCGGGAACTCCGGGAGGGGACGGGCAGAGTACTGCCAGCCAAGGTCAAGAAGATCGTCCAGCTCCAAGCCCGGCAATCCATGATCGAGAGGAGGGACGCCCACCTCTCGGATCCCGCAACTGCGGGTGCCAGGACTGTCGGGGCCGTCCGGCCCTGTCTGCCGAGTGGCTGGACAGGGCCCAGGGAGATGTGTCATTTAGGATGACACAGGTACTCACCGGGCATGGCTGCTTTGGTGAGTACCTGTGTCGTATAGGCAAGGAGAGCACCACGGCTTGCCACCACTGCGGGGAAGGAAGAGACACGGCGCAGCACACGTTGGCGTATTCCCCGGCGTGGGATACGCTGCTCCGTGATCTCTGTAATGAGGTCGGCCAGGACCTCTCGCTGCCGATACTCATCGTTAAGATGTTAGGCAGCGAGAGGTCGTGGAAGGCGGTCGCCTCCTTCTGTGAGTAAGTCATGCTGCAGAAGGAGGCGGCCGAACGAGTCCGCCGCCAGGAGGCGGCGGAGGCAGAGGCGGCGGCGGCTGCTGCCGTCGCAGCGACTGATAGCGAGGAGGAGGAGGATAGAGGAGACCCGACGGACGCGAAAACCGGAAACGAGACATCGTTTTCCCGCTCCGTCGCCTCTCCCGTTATAAGAAGGCTTAGGTCTCGTCACCCCCGCGGGGGAGGGACACAGCAGTCTTCTCCTCCACAAAGGAGGAGATGACCATAATGGGGGCGAACAACCAGACCGGGGACTAAGTCCCCAACTAATGGGTTCGCCTCCCAATAAGATCCCTCTCCCACATATGCGGGATAAACGGGATGGCGAGGAGATGGGCTGTTAGCCTTCTCTTTGCGGCCGCTAAACGCGGCAGCGATATATATTTAAGGAGGCAGATGCCTCCTTTATAAAGCCGCAAGGCAGTGTTCCGATTAGGGATTCCGTGCGCGCGCATGTGCGGCAATACGCTGTCAATGAAGTACCTTAAACTAATAAAAAAGGGCACCGTTACCCAGCTATATAGATACATATGAAAAAATTATAAATAAAAATATATATGTGTGTATAAAGACGTTATATATATAACACGTTATATATATATATATATATATAATTATTAATATATATTATTAACATATCGATCCTCCTATTGATCTTTCTTGTCCTCCTCCTGTCATGGCGATAGCGTCCCGCCAAAACTGTACACGTTATTACACACATGCTTAGTACGTTACTGTAATCACCTGTGACGTCACGATTGCTCATGCGCAGAACCGCACATGCGCGCGCACGGAATCCCTAATCGGAACACTGCCGCAAGGTGCGGCGGATAGCAGCTGGGGAGCAAGTTCCCCAGCTGGAGAATAGACACCCGCCGCTAACGCGGCGGCTGTCTTTCTCCCTCGGGACCGGAGCGTCACAGGCGGGGGCCTGTGGCGCTCTAAGTACGGTCCCCGAGGAAGGTGGATAGATTGCGTGGCCCCGTCTGTCCACACAGAGGAAGGAGGGGAGAGTAATAACAGCTCTTCCCAGGAAGGAGACCCGGCGATTAAATACACACGTCGCTGGGCCGTAAGCGCGGAGAAAACCCACAGCTGGGGATTCTGAAGTATTGCAAGCGCGAGTCCCAGGTCCCCACCTGCCCCTCCATAGCGCGGAAGGTCACCGCAAGAGTTTTAGCGGGTAAACCAGTCGGCTAACACTTAGCGCGACCGGGAATCCCGCATAACCACCACTCCTCCCCTGAGGGTGGTGGTATGCATAAAGCATTTCTCCTGAGTTACCAAAAAAAAAAAAGTTTATTCATCGTCATCGTCGTCATCGTAGATAAGGAGACGCTCTTTTTCTTGTCCTCTTCCTTTTGGAACATGACTCCCTCTGCAAAGTTGTTAAATGCCAGCCATCCTTCTTCTGATTCACACATCTTTTCTACGATCGTCTGCAGGGACAAGTCCTCGCCAATCTCAGATGTTAGCAGCTCCCTTTCAGCGTTCCATACAGAACATCTCTGGATTGTATGTTCTGCCGAATCCTCCTCTTCATCACAGAAGGGGCAAATTGGAGTGCTTGCCTTGCCAATACGATACAAGTAAGTATACAGGCAACCATGGCCTGTTAAAAGTTGGGTCATGTGGAAAGATAATTCTCCGTGTGTTCTCTCTAGCCATTGTATAAAAGAGGGAAGGATTGCATTAATTGTCCTTATTCCCGCTACTCCATCTCTGCGGAGGAATAGCTCCCATTGTCTATGCAGTAGGATCTTCTCTTCCTTCTTTATGTCTTTCTCCTCGAGTCTGTTCCACTTGCCTATTCTCTTGAGCTCGTGTATTCTGAGGAAGACTCTTGAAATACGCCGCTTGTAACGGGGCTATTCTGGCCAATAAGAGTGCGGCATCCGCCGATATAGTTCTGTAACCGGCGACTACTCTAATAGCTATTGCTCTTTGGATACGTCGTAGTGCATCACTGTTCTTCTTTCTGTATAGGGAATCAGCCCAGATAGGGGCTCCATAGATTATTATTGAATTAATCATTGCTGCGTACAGTCTTCTCTTCTTTTCTCGCGGTCCTTTCAGATTGGGTAGTAGGCCATGCAAGGCTCGTGTTACCTTAGCGACCTTCTGTTCAATATAATCGATGTGATCCATAAAGCTCCAGTCTTCATCAATGAGTAATCCTAGATACTTAATACTTTTGCATGTTTGAATTTCTAGATTACGTACTCTAACTGTATATATGTTGTTCCTTTGTTTATGTGGATCGATAATTATAACGCCTGTTTTATTTTCAGCAATTTCCAGATCTAAGTACCGAATTCTTTTCAGGACTCTACTAATCTGCAAATTACTTTTCGCTATGGCTTGCATCGTAGTGTCTGCTGTTATGATAAAAGTGTCGTCTGCATATCCAACTATGATGCATCCTTCTTCCAGCGGCGTACGCAAAACGTAGTCGTACGTGATATTCCATAGAGTCGGTCCGAGGACCGAGCCTTGCGGGACTCCAGCTGTTATTTGTCTGGTAATTGTCTCTCCTTCGATTGTAGGGTATTCTATAAATCTATCTTTAAGATAGTTTCCAATGATTTTCCGGAGATATATAGGATAGCCCTTACTCTTTAGAGCCTCTCTGATCTTTGACCATCTTAGCGAATTGAATGCATTAGTCACATCCAGACTAACACAACACGACTGACTCACGTTTAGACTTAGCTTCTTCGATTATTTCTTTAACAATAAGAAGTGCATCACAGGTGGATGTGTGCTTTTTAAAACTAAATTGGTTTGTAGCAAGTCTAGCGTCTGGATTATTATCCATCCAATCTCTGAGACGACCTTCTATTATGCGCTCAAAGATCTTTCCAAGCTCATTTAGGAGGCAAATTGGTCTTACTTTTGGGGCTGAAAGATCTAATTCCCCTTTAGGTATTAAGATTAATATAGCAGATTTCCATATTTTCGGGAAGATGCTTTTCTTCATGTAAATATTGTACAAATATATAAGTTTAGTAAGTAAGATTTTAGGAATTTTCTTTAAGAATTTTATTTTGATTCCATCAGCGCCTGGAGCCTTATTAGCTCCGGATCCTTTTTTGAGTACATTACAGAGTTCTGAATCAGACACGTCATATTCTTCCTTCCATATTATCTGTTCAGCGTCGTCTTCTTTGTAGCTATTCCATAAGAGATCTTCTGGGAATAGTTTATTAACCACTTGATTTAAGATTGCAATGTCCAAGGTCTCCGTCAGGCTAGGAGTTGATCTTTTCAACTTTTTGAGTGCAATTTTATATGGGAGACCCCCAAGGATCACTATCAAGGGACTGAATCAGTTCATTCCACGCCTCTTTCTTGGCGTTCTTAATTTCATTGAAGATCTTCTTCAGACCTCTGTATTCATCCTCAAGCTGTATAATAATATTGATGTCTTTCTGCTTCTTTCTGGCCTTTTGCCATTTCCTGCGAGCTGCAATGCATCTCTTCCTCATATCGTGGAATCTAGGATTCCACCAATATGCTGCCTCTTTATGAAATGGGCGGGCTCTAGGCATAGAATAGTCGCAGGCTTCACTGATCATGTCTTGAATCCGTTTGGCCATTAGGCTCCACTGCGTCATCGTCTGGTAAAATTGCATCTGGAGGTGTACCGATACAACTCCATTCTATGGCTTCTTGGAATAGATCTTCGTCAAATTTCTTGTAGGACCATCGTACATACTTCTTTTTATTTTGCCGATAATTTGCCATAGTGTAATTTACATCAAATCTTATATATGCATGGTCTGATAGAGTCTCTTCTTGAGTACAGCCCAATTCTCAATGTAGGGTTTTACGTTTGCACCATGTAAGATCGATTACTGACGTTCCTTGATGGCGTATGCACGTCGGCTGATCTCCAATGTTACAGAGAAACATATCTCTGCTAGATGTCCAGCGTCTAAAATTAGTTTTTAAGTTAGTTTCTACATTAGACTTTAATTTAGTTGTTAAGGTAGTCTCGTCCTTCCTTTCAATACTTAATCTAATCTTCCTCATCTCTTCTCGTATGCTTCTGTTTTCCTTTTTTAGTTCATTAATTGTGTCTCGTAGCTCGGAGAGTTCTCTGAGTCTTTTTTCTTCCTCACGCTTATGATGATTTCTTTCTTTTTCAAGCTCTTCTGTTAAACTAGTAATCTTAGCTCGCAGGAATTTGGGGTCACCCGTCGAATCCGCTTTATTTTGAAGGACTCTCACCATATCCTGGAGACAAGTTAGTCTACTTTTGAGTTCACCGCTCAAACTTCCTTTCATGCGGCCGCATTTCGTCCTTATTACATCAATGTCCTGTATATAATCCGGTGCTTGCGCACTTATATCTGATTCAGTCATATTATCTAGCACTTCCTTTTCCATGCCATCTGGGGCTTGTCCAATTTTACTGTGGATCTCATTTTCAGCAAGGATAGGATCTATTGCCCTGACTACTCTCTTCGGTCTACCGACTTTCCTCCTTTGGACATCCTCTCCATCCGTATTATGCATCGCTTCTGTATTTGAGCCATCGGGATCTTGGCCGTCTTCCTTAATGTCGGCGATACATTTAGACAATTTCGCCCTTGTCCTGGGTCTTAATTTTTCTAAGAATTTGGCTCCTCGAATTTTTGACTCCGAAGCCTTCGTTTCATCCGAGTCGCTATCAATCGTGCGACTTCCTCATCATCGACCTCCATCAGGTGGATCGGTGCGTTAGCCGTATCCTTTTCTTCTTCCTCGACGAGGTTGACCCAGGTTTCGCTTGCATTCACAGGCATAGTCGCAATTTGCGTGCAGGGGTCTTCCTGAAGAACGTGTACTTCAGCCTCATCGGATTCCTTAGGCGCCGAGGGAGGAGTCAACTCAGCATTCATCCGGCCTATATCCTCAACGACATCCTGAGCAGCGGTAGTCCTTCCTGAGGCAGCGCCCGCCATCAACGCTGCACCTTGCCCTTCGTCCGATATCGACGCAACCGAGACAGGGACGATATCTCGGCCATACGCCGTTCCCTGGGACATCCGACTCCCCTGAGGAGATAAGTTTTCTTCTTCCTTGGTGTCCATATCATAGAGGTTAGAGTGTGTTTTTTGACCAGGGTATCACCTCCCTGGTGGGGTTTTTTAGGAAAAAACACTCAAACCATCACACACACATACACACGCACACGCTCACACCAGGAATTGGATCAAGGGGCATGGGAAGGAAGAAGGAAAGGGTAGGGATAGGAGGCAGAAGCATAGAAAGGATATCTAAGGAAAGGAACAGGAATTGAGGGAAGTGAGTGAGGATTGGGGTGTTTTCCCACCCTTCACGGGATCTTCAACCCGGGCGATTGCAGTCAGGGCCGCCTACCCCTATGCGCATCAGGCCAGAGTGCCCGGAGGGAGCGCAATCCCCCTTCCTCCCCTTCCGGGGAGGGAAGTGCAATGCGAGCTCTTGGTCACCGTCCCCCGGTCCCCGGGCCCCCCCGACACGAAAGTGTCGAAGTGGGGGCCCGAAGGACCCACCGGGCCCCCCCCCGACACCGAGGTGTCGAAGTGGGGGGCCCGATGGGCCCGGAGATCGGGGGCGGCTAAGCCCCTCCACCACGTCAAGGTGGCTCGCATCGGAGGAGGCCGGGGGAGAATCTAACCTAACCTAACCTAACCTTGAGGCCGGAGGGATCCCCGAGAGAGGCGATTCTACGAGGTCGTCCGTTGCAGGATCGCCGACGCGGATGGTGACAGAGACGGTCGCCTATCAAACGGACCGGGAGGGCAACAAAGTCCCGGTGCTCAGGCTCAAGAGGGCGACGCGCGAAGACGACGGCGCTCGACCAGGCAGCTGGAAGTAGCATCTGCAAGAGAAAAAGACTCTGTAAATAAAGAAGCGTGTACATATGTAGATGGACTCTAGTTTTAGTTTATTTATAGAATGTACGGCGCGACTGCGATCGCACAGCGGTGCGAAAAACATTATCTCCGGTTAAGCGAGAGAACTTAGATTCTCATCCGACGAATCGGGGACTGCGATCCCGACGATTATTATACTTTATTTTGTTTAGCGTATCCGGCCGAATATTGAGACCGGACTTGGCGGGAAATCCGTTACGGGTCGCATAGAGGAGTTTCTCGCGATATAACTTTTTCGTTTTAATTTCGATTATTTTCTTTTCCCGAGTGAATATCGCGCTCGGACTTAGCGGGAAATCCGTTTCGGCGTGTACGACGATGTTTTCCGCGATAATTATTTTGATTTTAATTTTTCTTTCACCGACGGAATATCGGCACCGGATCCGGCGAGAAATCCATTTCGGGCCATTTAGAGGTGTTTCCCGCGACAACATTTTCTTATCTTTTATTTTCGACCCCGAGCTCGTATCCGACTCGGACTTGGCGCGAAATCTCGACGCGCAAAGAGGCCGTTTTTGAGAGAAAAATTCTCACTTTCGGTTTCGAAATCCCATGGGAATTTCGACCCCGGACCAAGCGGGAAATCCGTTTCGGGTCCCTACGAGTCGAAATAGGTCACTTTGTAAAAAAGTGCAAAAGTGCTCCGAAAAACTGCACTTCCGGTTTTCTCGTAAAATCGAATGGGGAACGCGCGGGGAGGCTTCCCGTTGAAGCGCGACGCGCGC